GCGGCGGTTCTAAAGCCTATATTTAAAGGGGGCTAGCAGGGGTGGATCCAGAAATTTTTGCAGGGAGGCGTACAGAAATGTAGACGATTTTTTTCTCCGGACACATACGCATCCGAAAATCAATAGGTGGGGGTTCCTACCATATTTTCAATGGGGAGCGCTGATGAAATCCTACAATCAGACACACTATATTAACTAATAGTTCACGAATGGCTACGCCTCTGGTGGACAGGTTCGTTATGATCAATACAATTTCCATCAACAGGGGGGGGATAGGGTTTGACTGCTATTTCATTTTTTTGGCATTTTTTTTGTTACGGGGCTAAACAAAAGTTTTTGGGGGAGGGCCCCAGCAACCCCCCCCCCCCCCCAGCACCGCGCCAGCATACAAGGTACCATGGTACTGAAGTCAGCTCATAGTTTAGGAAGTCGCATCATGAACCTAGATGACACCTGATGGCATGGGAATACATTTGTAGAACTTAACAATACACTTGGAATTCTTGGTATAAGTCATGGTCTTACAGTTAACCAGAAAGGCACCCACAATCCTGGGCATCAGTAACCCCCATTGGTATCATAAAAAAGTCACAACTCCCGCACCTGGGTTGCTTTAGTAAAAAACAAAACACAATTATCACCTCAGATTAAAAGACAACCATGAAAAAGATAATTTTGAAAGATACTAGGTTTTATTTATTGTACCTTCATTTGGTTAAAAATTACAATAATGTATTGCACACGGACAACCCCAGTAAAGTGACTTGTCATAGAACAACAAACAGAACAAAAGTACAGTTGGTTCAAAGATATTTTCAATTGAAGATTTTGAGTATTAAGCTTGCTATTCTTGTAGAACTAAAAAAAAAAACCAAGTAAACTTAAAATGATCAAGGCCTAGGAGGGGCATTATGAGGGAGATGCATATAGTTGGTGAGAAGTGGGTGACAAGTAAAATGGATAATCTAAATAGTGCTTATGAATAATTCATGGTTTGAGGGCCAATTTGGGTCATGTAATTGAGTACACTCATTTGGTCTGTACATTGTTGATATTAAATAAACAGAGGTCATTGTCTCTCCAAATGACTCGTACTACAAAATATTACATCTTACTATCTTTGAGGTTTTATAAAGTGCACCTTGAGCAGGGTCATTTTTTTTTTCTTAAAATGCAAAGAGCAATGACCAGGAATGTATTAAAACAGCTTTGCTTCCTACATGAAATCAATCACTATGGATCTTGTTCACTGAGCATAAATAACAAGTTAATCTCTTTGGGAATCTACTTTTGGGGAAAAAATGGTTGTATTTGTTCTTAAGCAAGTGTTTTTTTTTTATGAAATACATAACTCGAGGCAGGATTTTTGGAATTACTTGAAGTAAGAGCTTTCAGGTAAGCAAGTTGGCATGTGCAAATGAAGTGCAAATGAAGTGCAAATGGACAATGCCCTGCATACATCTACATATGTATTTGAATAAAGTCGCTTGATTTCGGGTTGGAAAAAACTTTAAAATGGAATCCGTGTTTTTTTACATCCCATCTTGCATTAGGCATCATTTATATGCAACTCTGCAAGATATCCCTGCATTTTGAAAGAATTACAGACAATTTCAATGCTAAAGAACACGATTCCTGTATTAAATGTCTGAGATTCTGATAATGTAGAGTAGAGGTACATCTGTCTGCACATCACACTGTTGACGTTATATGTAAATTAAAAAAACAAATCCTATATACAATATGCACATATACATAGATGTACAGTATTTACAATACTTATAAAATGAACTTATTATATCAATATGATTCTTGCTGTGTGTTAAAAGCAGTGTGGAAAACTGTTGACTGATGACGCTGGTTTGGAAGGTTAGCCAAGTATGACTGAGCTGCTGCGAATATTGTTTTACTACTTGAAAATTGTCATTTTACAGGGACAATATTTGAATTCAAGGGAGCAGCTTAAAAGCAAGCTCACAACCAATTACAGTGGAATCTCGATAAGTCAAACCTTGGGAGAATTGGCTTAAATTTTGAGTTAAGCAGAGTTTTGAGTTATCCAATGGATTTTCTATTCGACAACAATTGACAGGTATAAGTTTTTACTTTTGAGTTAGAAAGGTTTTTGAGTTAACAGGTTATGACTTGTCGAGATTTCACTGTATAAGCAGGAAATGATTCTAGACTTAGGTCATTTCACCAACTGTAGCTCCTGACGCTTGTGCATACAGAGAGACTTCTATTGACACATCACCATTAATATTAAACCTACCGAAGAAAGTGTTCTTCATGCTGTGTTCAGTGCAAATTGGCATAAAGACACGAAATTTGGCACATATGTTCTTCATGCATGACAAACAAAACCTGATATAGGGTCACTTCGTCCCAACTCATTAATTTGGCTAATTAACCCTCGTGCTGTTTTAATAGTCACAGAGTAAAAAAATCAATCCTCTTCCCCTGCCATGCCTTTTACACACGCTAGTCAACAACAGTCAGATCATATTTTAAGCAAGCACTGTGACTAGTCAAATTCAGTCAACAGACAAAAGCAGACAAGTGGTAGGCACAGCTGGCTTATCAATCACCTACAGTCAAACCGTAGCTAGCTGTATCAAGTTACATAAACAGTTACATTTACAAAATACTATAGTAGTAATAAATAAACAGTAGTTCTGGTGATTTGTGCCTCATTTTGAAGTGTTGGGTAACAACTGCGCTAATTTGCCTAATGAATAAGTCATTAGGAAGTAACCCTATATCAGGTTGTGTTTGTCATGTATCAATGACCATCTGTACCAAGTGTTGGACTTTTATACCAATATGCACACTAGGCCCCCATGCTGCAAGAGGTAGGGGACCATAGACCATTATCATGTTGCGGCCATCTTGATTTTTCCCATTCAAATCAACGTAACCAAAGCAAGGATGGAAGGAAAAATAGTCTGGATCCTTTTTGCACAAAAACGTTATCATTCAGTACTGTTATTGGATACAGGGAACATGACTTAAATGGATGCAGCATGATAAATGTCTGTGACAATAATGAAGGCTCGGTGAATCAAACTGTGAGCGCTTAGAAGCAAATGAACACACATTGAATCCAATACATGTATCTGTAGAGTTAAAGGTATAGTCCATCATTTGTAATTTCTGCATTTTGTTCGTTTGAAGCAACAACAGTGCTCAAAAACTAAAGGAGGGTGCTAAACAGCTAACCCGATGAACTTTCAGCTCAGCTTCAGCTGTATATTCCGAGAAAAACAGCATTCTGGGATCTCGATTTCAAAATAAAAGTTGCTGAATCAGTTTTGAATTGGGCCTGAATTCAGCGTCCGAGACACGTTCTCACTGAGCCGATTGCTGCTACGCGATATCGCGCAAATCCAACGAATTATAGCAACTGAGGACGCGTGTGCGTCGTGCCAAAGCTTGCGCGCGCTTCGCCAAATAAAAAAAACGAACTACTAATGGAAATTTCCAACGGTGTGTCTTAAGACGCACCGTTGGAAAGGCCTTCTTTCGTTGATTTCTTCAAAATGACAGCTTGCCAGAAAGAATAATTTCACAGGGAGTTTAGTCCCCTGACTATCTTTCAACCAAGCATGGTTTTCAACAATAATTACGCCAGTTACTTTTTGGATGGCTGCAAATGATGGACTGTAGCTTTAAAGAAACAAGGAGAGGTTGGCGAAAACTGACTGGCACATAGCCCAATGCTGGCAGGTGCAGAGATCTAATAGTGATTTCTCACTAACTATGGTCATTAGTCACAAGGCTTCCAAATGCACTTGAGTGGTTTCATGCATAAAAAAGAGGCTGGGGAATTCAAAGCAGGCCAATAGCTCTCTCTCAAACATGGCCATCTCGGTAGGAGAGCTACAGTGTCATGACCTAACGGTTAAGAACACCGGACTCATGCTCTGGTGTTTCAGAGGCAACAGTGGCGTGGGTTCGAGCCCACCGGGTGGACACTTGTGCCCTTGAGCAAGGCACTTAACCATTATTGCTTTGTCCTTCGGATGGGACGTTAAGCCGTAGGTCCTGTGTCTTGTGTAATCCAGTGCACGTAAAAGAACCCAGTGACACTTATCGCTAAGAGAAGGGGTTTGCCCCGGTGTTTCTGGCCTCCTGTATAACTCCCACGCGGAGTATTTAGGAGACGAACCAACCAAGAACCAAGAATTGCAAAGTCTGCGTATTTTATGCAATCAAGCACGCATTGCGCAGTGTTGAAAATGTTCCAAACGCACGCTTGTTGCTCGAAATGTGTTCGAAATACGACGCAGCCGATGCACATTATGCAAGTTGACGCTCAAAATGCTGATGCACGTGGCCGGTCTGTTGCAAATGACGTCATTTGAGAGAGACCTAGATATGCAGGTAGTTGATGTTTTGAATGTGGCCTCTTGGAGGCAAATGCTTGGCATCAAATAATTGAATCCTGTATATGTACAAACAGTTTTTGAAACCATCTGGTATGTGATAGCAGGGGCACCATAGTCCATACAATGTATTGTGCAATAGTTGTGGTATGCAGGCATTGTGAAATAGGTGAAAAAGGGCTTTATGAAATATCTGCTATGCCTGGATATAATATTAGAGTTGACGATGGTACTACAGCGCATCCCAAAATACCCGCAACATTTTTTTTGCGAGACTCTAGCATTATTTTTATATCATTTTAAAGCTTGGAATCTTAATTTTATCCCTGGTAAGTATTGGTTTGATTTTCAAAAGGGTTTTGAAATTATAACCGTTTTCAAGGAAAATCAATCATGCGCATTTTTTCTAATGTGGAAATGCTTCATGTTCATTATGTGACGATCTCGTTGCCTTTTACTTTCTGTGTTTCCTTGTCTTTTCGATCCACGTACACTTTAAATAAATTCACAATATTGTTTTTCGTTTCAAGCTCAGTGTGTTTTAATATAAATCAACTTTTTTTTGTTTTTTTTCAACAGCTTGTTGACTCAAGTTTGCATCTGATGTACCGCATCATCAACTTTCCTTCAAATGGTTGAGTTTGTTTTCTACATGCCTTTATTTGAACACGAATAATTTAAAAATTCTTTTAATTATCAAACCAATACTTGCAAGGGATAAAGTTAACATTCCAAGCTTTAAAATGGTATCAAAATAATGGCGGTACGTATTTCCTCGCCGACACTAGAGCCTCGCAAAAATAAAGTTGCGGGTATTTTGTGACGTAGTGTACATTGTATTAAGTGGTGGACAAAAATGGGTCGGTGGTGGTAGTCATGGTTGATTATGAAAATGACTCCACTCAAATTGATGGGAGCTATTTTGGCACAGTCACTAGGCTAAAACAAGCCAAACCATTTCCCCATACAGATTGACACAGTCGACTTTGGGAGGGTAACGTAGGTCCTGATGTGCATGCTGTACTATCCAGAGTCATATTGCTGGGTCCGGAGGGTTCAAGGATGACGTCTCGTCAATCTAGGAAGAAGATGTTGGTGAAATGTGCAGCGCATAGTCTCTTGACCTCCTCTGGAAAATGATAAACAAATAAACAAACAAAAGTAAGATTTGAAACCTTGCACGGTGGTGGTAGAACTAGTGAAGGTTTGCGGTAACACCATGCGTAAATCTCTTTTGGGAAGATGTGTGGTTCTGAAAAAAAGTTTTTTTCAACCAACTGGTTCTTGTCAGAACCATACATCTTCTCAAAAGAGATTTCCACACGGTGGTACCGCAAAGCTTCACTAGTTAAGCAAACAAACAAATAATGACAAGTGAATAGGACTGGCTTAGCACATTTGTCAACCACATAAGTACATACAGTTTGTATTTCTAAAAGAAAACAAATATATAAGGTACCTAAAGCAAGACCTAAATCTTTTTTTCTTCATTTTCTGCATTCATACTAGTTCAACCAAGAGAGATGTCAGAAACATGAAAAAAAGTTGAAACTTAGAATTAAGCAACACTGCTTTTTTTTTAATAATTCTTTTCCTTTGAGTGAGTTTTAGAAGCATGTTGGTTTTTCTGCCAGAAGTAAATGTACATAGGATCATTTGTCTATTTTTTGCATTTTTTCGTCTGAAGCAACAAAATAGCTCAAAATTAAGGTGCATAACAACTAACCTGTGGGAGTTTTAGCTCAGTGGCAACTATACATTTTGAGAAAGCAGAGAAACATTTGCACACTTTTTAGGTCTCGTAACTGAATTCTGTTGTTTAAGAACAGTGTGCCCGTGGACACACTTTTTTAAACTGCTTTTAATTAAGGTTTTCTGCTGAACAATTCCATTTCAGGCAGAATAATTTCACGGGGTACTTGGTACCATCCCTGTCGTCACTTTTCTGAAAGATTTTTTTATGAAATTGGTAGGTTTGTTTCCACGTTTTTGCAAATGTTCCTACATGTTTCTAAGAGAGAGCTTTCTGGAGAAAGTAACAAGTTGATGTTCTAGTTCTTTCTTTTCCTTACCGTTTATTTCCGTGAGGGTTGCATTTTTCTGATTGATGACGACGTAGAATTCTCGCTGGTCAGATTTCTTGCCGACGACCCAACAATCTGACATGGTCTTCATTAACGTCTCACCGTCCTCTTCAAATCTGAAACAAAATGCCATAACAAATTAGTTTAAAACTCATTAATTCAAACTTCTCAGAAATGGAAGAATGACTAACAATTTGTCACAAAAAGAAGGTGAGAAAAGTGATAACAAAGCTAGAGTTTAAAAAAACCCTGGTAAATGCTGAAATGAGACTGGGATTACAAAATGGGCCTTATTCACGAGTCGGCCATGTTGAATTGAAAGTGAGGTAAAATCATTTTTGGAACTTGCGAAGAGAAATGAAAGCAAGTACATTACTAAATAATTCAAGTCTGCTTAAATGAATAATTTAAAATTTGTAATTAAACATTCCCTAATGTTTTAAGCCAGATTAAAAAAAAAATAAAGTAACATAAGGCTGCATAAATAGTATGGTGCCATTCCATGCAACAGTTAACAATTTATGAAATACATTCAGGGAACACAACAAAAATGGCTACCTCATGAATAAGGTCCATGGCAATTAGATCAATCCTCTTTCACTAACATGTTTGCAGAATAGGAATCCTTAAATATAAAAAAGAATTATTTGAAAAAAGTACTAATGCTATAATTTGCTGTGCTTCTTTTCAAGAGAACTTTTCACCTTGTAAAATCTGCATTGATGTCGCTAATGAGTCGAACCATTTCGGGACTTATCGTTGCGCTGGATGTCTTGCGGTTGTGTACCGTTGTCTTCTGGGCCAAGTTCATCTGATTGAAGTAGACAAACTTGAAATCTTGACTGGCACTACTGAGGCAGGAGTAAAATGATAACACAACACATTTCAAAATGAGGACAAACTCTCTCCACCAATATTTAAATATATCAAATATAATATTTGAAGCTGGCAATGAGCAATACAACATTTCAAAAAAACAACCCCAAAACTCAATAGACCCCTCTCATAAGACGCCATCTTCGCAAGAACATTACAACTGCATGTTCAACGCCATCAGGTGTGTGCGCCCGCAGTGTGCAAAATGTTCTAAACACACGCACATGTTGCTCGAAATTTCTTTGAAATACGGCGCAGCCGATGCGCGTCACAAAAAATTGACACCCAAAATGCCGATGCATGTGACAATCAGTAGGAAGTGATGTCATTTGAGAGAGACCTATAAGAGTACACAACAGGTAGGCTAGGCTGACTGCCTATTTGTGCACAAATTAATATTGAAATGAAGTTGAGCCCGTGTTAAAGGTTGTGAGAATGCAGAATAAGGAACTAGCCATTCTCCTACTCTATCGGGCATGCAACTGGGAATTTAGAAGAACCAAGGACATTCCAAACCACACAAGACTTTGCACAGTGTTTTTCAATTTGTAATGGCATTCCTGAGAAGTTAAAAACGAGGAAATCAGCAGGTCCGAGGAAAAGTTGCATGCCTGCTCTACGCTTCAATGCTTATATGAAGATGCTACAGGTTTGTAAACATTCAGAGTAAACTATTTGTGTGTGCTTTGCGTCATGCCTGCGATAGGTGTGTGAACCAGTGTGTACGTGTTCTACATAACCCCTGAGGACAGACACACAAAGGGAGAACAACAGATCCTTTCAGTCCTCGGGAGTTGGGTCTTTTGTTCAAAACGGGACTCTGTAGTAGGTTCGTGTGCTTAGTCTATGGGAGAATGTTTTATTACAGGGACAAAGGGAAACACAAAGCATTGTCCTCGGGAGTATAGTAATACAAGAGTGTATGCACAGTGTGTCCCTCTCATTAGTGGTCATGTAGCCCCATCTACTGTCCACACACGGAGTCCACATCTGTGTGAAATATGGAGCCATACTCAGGCAGTGGTCAGACTTATAGTTACCAGTACTAAGTATCTGTTTTTACCTGCTTCCTTTCCTGTTTGCGTACTGTTCCCCAATGTCCGATGCCAGACTACTGAGTTGTGGACCAATGAAACTGTCAATATTTTTATACCAGTCTAATGGTGGTATAGTTGAACCTGATGACAAAAACCAGAATAGAACATTCAACCATAATCATCCGTTTTGTATCACAAAGTGAACACTTTTCAATGATTGATATCAATAATAAGTTCTAAAAGTTCAAGTGATGGGAATGCTCCCTGTGAATGACTTTCCACAAAAGAAGGAAAACTTAACAATCACTAGCAGTAACTTATTACAAAATTTAGTCCAATGGGGTTTTGTGTGTGAAAGATACATAAATGTAGTATAGGTCAATAGATATGAAAGGCTAGACTACCAGCTACCACACATACTGTGGCCTTTGTAGCCTCATGTTTTGTCCTTTGTGTATCCTTGGAATCAATTTTGAATGACACTCCCGTCCTGAAAGTTGAGAGAAAATAAATCGACCACTTCAAGGTTAACTTACCGTCAACCATCAGGCATACTGTTGCACTGAGGGCCTGCAGAAGAGAAATACAAATGTTTATTCAAAAGTGCCAATTTTATTGAAAAGTGCCAATTTATCAATAGATGAACCTTTTTCTGGTGGGGGAGGGGGGGGGGGGGGAGGGGTGGATGGGGGATGCTAATCATCCTTACTTGCAGCAGAAGCTGAATTGCGAAGGACGCAGCTACAACATGGTCAAGCCAAAGGCACGTAAAGGTGCCTTAGGCAGCTGCCATACGACCAATATCTGACCACGGCCAGAATGAAAGTGTTGATTTTTGTGGAGGAAGGGACACCAGAGAAGCCAGAGAACAACCCACGTGGCACAGGAGAAAATCAACAACTCTTCTCACATATGACCCTAGTCGGGAATCAAACCCTGGCCACAGTGGTGAGGGGCGAGAGCTTTATGCACTGCGACACCAATGCCACCCTATTTTAAATTTAACTTTTATAATAGCTCTGTATGGAATAGGCTCCAATGTACATGTGACATCTTACTGGACAGGGTGAGTAAAAAAAACTAAACCCAAATGTCGGGACCATTGTTTTACTGAAGTTCTGCATGTAGCACTTTCAAAATCTAGAATATGAAAGCCCAATTCATAAGCTTTCTTTTAGTACAAGAATCCTTCAAATCACTCATGTACTTTTCAAGTTACGGAGTTTTAAACACAACCACCATTTTAGAGTTCTGTCCAGGGATCAAACAAGTTCAGTGTTCTTTCAGCAAAACGAAAACAAATCACATAAGGATGTGCGTGAATTGTTTTCGTTTTGCTTAAAGACCGTACACCTTTTTGTGATCCGTGGAAAGACCTTTAAAACGGTGGTTGTGTTTAAAACTCTGTAACTTGAAAAGTACATGAGTGATTTGAATGATTCTTGTACTAAAAGAAAACTTATGAGTTGGGCTTTCATACCCTAGATTTTGAAAGTGCTACATGCAGAACTTCTCTAAAACAATGGTCCCGACATTTTTTATTATTTGTTTTACTCACCCTGTACTTGAGAACCATTTCCCTCATCACGCATGCTGGTATACACAGCTTATATAAATGGTGAATGATAAACAGTGCATATGAACCGGCCAAACACTCAATGTTAGAACACATAACATCTTTGATTTTGTTCACACAGAGTCTATTGTGTTTGGACCTACCCTGTAGACAACAAGGTGCAGCTCTTCTATGTGGGATCCATTATTGACAAAGATCTTTGGAGGTCGAATTTGACTGGAAGACTGTTGGTCGTGAGGATCTGTCGGCCCCGTCACAAATCTGACAAAACATGACGACAAAGAGATGTGCAGAAATTGAACATCAAATTTAAGTGCAGCATAAAAAGTCTTATGAAATAAAATGGTCCTATGAAAATAAACCGACAAATCCTAGTATGCATGTGGAAGTTATCATTAGCCACAAACTTGAACCTGATAGTCTATACAACACAAAAATATTCAAATAAAGTCATGTAATAGTCAAGTCAAAGCTACATTAATTAACACTTTAATTAATACTACAGCAAAATATTAACTTACTTGCCATAGTGCGTGCTACCTAGCGTCTGGTTTGATTTGATTGTAGTTTCCTTAAGCTGGAAAAAATTACATAAGCAAAAATGAAAAACAATTACTGCACATACCAGAATAAATATGTAAAATACTACATCTGGCTTACAGGAAGTCAAGTCTGTCCCGAGTGTCTATGGCCCATTAGGCCAGTGTTTATCTCCAGTTTCCCTGGCATGAAATGAATATTTCTATTCCCCCTGAATGAGATGCCAGTCCATCGCAGGTTACTCCCCAGCTAATGCCAGTACCCATTTATACTCCTGTGTGGAGAGAGGCAAGTGGGGATGAAGTGGCTTGCCCAAGGACACAACACATGACCAGCAGCTGGATTCGACCCCCTGACCTCTGATCATGAGTCACAAACCCTAACCACCTGGCCACACTCCACACATTACATTGGGCTTAATGATTCCATTTTGTACAAGTTCAAACAGTGTGTCACTGCAGTGACTGACTGTCAGGATTCAAATAGAATCCTTCTACAACTGCTAAAGAAGTTTGCATAAATTCATTTAGTCAACTTTAACATGAACACTGACATTACAAAGTTTTGGTTACGACCAAATTTTATAGAGTCAGCATGCAAACCACTGTCTGCAACCCTTTTACAGTGATCCTTCTTTGGAAATTTTGGAGAAATTTCATGCTTGTATCGATAAGGCTTAATTGGTGAGCTAGGATTAGGTCTTTACAGATCGAACGCCAATGTTATGTGATATAGATATACATGCAGGTGGCATGATAAATCATGGCTCATCCATTACTGCGGTTTATACTAATTGGTTGGCATGTGCGGTCTGCTGTGCAGTCACAGCAGGTTTCACTGTGACTTACCATAGGTATTGCTCCAAGATTTCGTTCATAACTGAAACCTGTCCAATAGCGCTCCGCACTAATGTTAAAAATAGAAGCAAGTACCCGGATCTCAGACAAGCATGCTGTACGAACTTCTCATGTGAAGATTACGCACACGCTTGCAACACCGTTTCTATGCGAATGTATGCGGCCAGATGTGCATGTATGTGCGGGCGTGATTGTTCGAAAGTTTGTCTGACATCAGGGATATGAGCGCATACGGCGCAGAGCAAACTTGACGTCACAAGTGCGGAGTGCTATTAATTGCAGATATGATTACGGATATGATGAACAGTTTGGGGAGGTCCAGCAGATTTCCTATGAATGGGAGTTGACTGTATGACTGAAGCATGTAAATTAAAGTCATTTTCTGACCAATATGACTCCGCAAGAAACTACCAAAAATACTTCTCAAGATTCCCCCTTGGATTGGATATTTGTTCACTGGAGATTATTGAAAAATGCCAGTATTCACTTATACCACTGGGACAGAGGCAAATGGGGTAAAGTGGCTTGCCCAAGGACACAGTGTATTTGATCATGAGTAACAAATGCTAAACATAAGCCATACTCTTTTCTATGATGGCATAATGGGACAACAATGACAAGCTGAACCTACCTCTGTGTCTAAGGACGTTGGGAATAAACTAGTGGTAAGGTATTTATACAAGATCCTCATGTCGTCCTGCTCAAGACCACTCCTGGAGAAATTGAAAAGTCAGCATTTGACACTAGTTGATGGATATACCAGGTATGGAGAAATTATATCAAATTAAACTTTTATACACTGTTACTTAGCAACGATAAGAGGTCAAAAAGATTACAGTCAACTGGTTCCATGATAAACTTTCTCAGTTAATTTTGACTTGTTTTTAAAAGATCCAGGACACAATTGAAACAAACACACTGGTGTGAGTGTTTGAAAACTTCCAGACAAAATAAAAAAAAGTGTCTATCTTTGTTTGAAATACCTGATTTTGTCTCCCCCTTTTAAATTTAACCAAAAATGTGCAAAAGAAACCGAAAGCTTCCTTAGAATTGGTTACTTCCTAAAACATAAATTGAAGCCAACCACAATATGTTGGTCTGGAGCTGTGTTTTCAGTCAATAGTTGATGAGTGACTTACCAAACAAGTTGATCATTGTACAGGAATGCTGTGTACTTTATTTGACTGCAATTAGAAAGGACAGTGAAAGCTAATCAAGTCTTTGGGTGGTTCTCAGGCCTTTTACAGCTAGCCACATCTTTTACTTCTTAATAAGCACCCTCGATATATCGATATTACTCGATTATTTGATATTATTTTGATATTGATATCGCCAATAACAGTTTTTTTAATCATTTTGAAATATCAAAATTTTATATCGAGCAATGGTATCAAAAATATAAAAAATGCGTCTGATTATCGAAAAAATAAATCTCCTGTTTGTGTTTTTACTTTGGGTTTCATGTTTACTGTATAATAATATAAAACTAAGTGGCAAGTTGTGCTTTTCAGGGGCCTATGTTACATCTAAAACACTTACCTAAACGATGCCTCTACGAGGTTGATAAAACACTGTATTCTCAGGTAGGTGTTCTTGTCAAGTGGAAGGAATAGGATACCATTGTGGATCTCAAGGATGTCACTGTGACTCAACCTGAGGGTCAAGAGATACTGGGAAGAAAAAACACGGCAAAATTATCAGGAGTCGATAAACAAGTAAAACATTAGACATAAAAGTTTAAACCAACCCTAAAAGTTCAAACCAACCCTATTTTACACATATGGGCTTTTGCATTAAAGACAGATTGCACTTTGTTCCTCCCGACAAGAGTAAGGACACACTGCACATATGCATGTGCACACACACTTGTTCCATAGTTGTGAGGACCATACACCTGATGAGCGATATATATTGTGGGGACCAAAGATGCTGTTGGGCAGTGTTGTAGTCTAGTACATTTCCATGTGTACTTGTTCTACCCCCCCCCCCCCCCCCCCCCCCCCCCCCCCCCCCCCCCCCCCCCCCCCCCGAGGACTGAAACACACACAAAGCCTTAAGGGAGAACAAAAGATCCTTTCGGTCCTCGGGAGTTGGGTCTTTTGTTGGCAACAGTCCTCTGTAGTAAGTTTGTGAGCTTAGTCTATGGGAGAGTGTTATATTACAGGGACAAAGGAAAACACAAAGCATTGTCCTCCAGAGTATAGTAAAACAAGAGTGTGTATACGAGTACGAGTACTTTGCCATGTGTATGAGTACAAGTAATTTGTCCTGAGTACGAGTACAAGTACAAGGTAATTTCTTCCATGAGTACTGATACCAGTACCAAGAAATGTACTTGAGTACGAGTACAAGCACCAGTTCTTTTCACAAGTAGGAGCAACATTTAATGGGTACACATGTTCTCAAGCACAACTCCCAACCCCAAACACAATTTCAACGTTAGTCCATTTCAGCAACTGCATCTTCCAATCTACTACATTTGGAGAGTATAGACTCTGTGAATGAATTGAAGCCAGGTCTATGTGACCACATTCCCCACGTGGCAGTCTCCCTCATGGCAGTCTCTCCCAACTCTCTCGCTCTCAAAAAATAAAATAGATTGCTGCTATAGAGGCCTGCTACGTGCCCTGCCGTTCAAGTAAGCTGGGCACCTCAAACAATAAAAAACTCTACAGAAAACGATCCTGATCTCAAGAAGAACATGTACCCGACTGTAGAAGTGTTCTAGCCTGTGCTTGAGTTGATCAATTCCATTGTTCTCCATGATGGATGTGAAAGACCCCATAAAAAGCTGCGACGAAGAAGAGAAGACATACATATTAAACATGTTACCAGCGAGAAGACAAAAAAATACACCAGTACATTCACTAAATGCTGTACGAGTCTGTTGCATAATGTGAGTTACATTATCGAAGAAGTTAAACAACCAACCAACAAACTTACCATAGATTAGAAAATGACTAACTTTGGTAGTACATGTATTTTGTAGACTCCTACCGATGTTACTTTAAATGGAGCGTTGTGCTAAGATTTGGTTGAAATGCAGTAATATGCTATAATGTGGCTGCAGGCTGTTAGCTTTTAGCATATTTGGGTAAGTTCCCAGCAAATATCTTACTGCCTTTTCAAATACGAAGTGCCTAAATAAAAGGTATTACTTTTGTTAAGCTTTCATGGCAACAACAAAAACTTCAGCATGGATGCCTAATACAGCTACCCACTACTAAGACGTTACGATGTTAAGGGTTTATCCTAAACTCTTAGCTGTTATTCTAAGAATCTGCTTGATCTTCCCAAATCCAATGCTGTGTAAGAGCTCAGTGGCATTTTCTTTGGTCTCTATCTCCTCCACTGAAAATAATCAAGAAGAGATGAGTTTGGAGGATTGAGATAGTATCCAATTTTTATGTGGCGGCAGTTGGAGGACTTTGAAGGATTGAGGATGCATCCTAGCCAAAAGGCCCTTGGGGTTAAGCCCCTTGCTCAGTAATAGTGGCTGGATGCTACCTTGCTTGATCCTGCAACATCCTCCTGTTGGAATTTGAAGGATATGGGAGGATTAGGGAGAACACAGATACAACTTGTGAGATGAGAGCCTACCTTGAAGAGCTTGTAGGCGTGTTTGAGGACAGCTGAGTAGACCGAGTCCTGGATGTCTTCTTCGTGGTATTCATGATATGTCTTACCATCTTTTGTCTTTTCGCTGAAAGGCACTGTTATGATCTGCAATAAAAAAGCCAGTGGAACCATTGGTTGTTTGGATTTAGAATCATGACAGGATTAGTCTGGTATAAACATCATCACTGGTTGGATGGCACAGACAACCGTTGTCATGAGTTGTAATTTAGTTTAAAATTCAAACACAAGTCAATCGCAAGTCATCCAGTTTCAAGTCAAGTTGCTATTCAAATGAATTGCGACTTAAAGATATTCCTTTTTAATGTGCATCCTCTGTTACTTGTGATTGACTTGTACATTGGACATGACCTCAATTCTAAGCAACCTGTTGTTTGGTGGGAATCACTGGCCATTTTCATCCTGAAGCAAGTACTGACTATATTGTACGTAGGATGTTTGTTGAAGTCTTGGTCTGTAGTTCTCATGAAATATAATACTTGAATACTCTCACACAACATGTATTTCATTAAAATCAACGTTGCCCTGTTTCTTAAGACATACACAGACCCAAAGGGTGAAATTACAATAAGCCATTCGCGAGTTAAATTTGAATAAAATCTGGAACGCTGACTTAATCCAATGCTTTGCACGTTTTAAGTTTGCATTCTCCCAACCAAAGAGACTGTTACTATATCACGTGATTCGGGGCAAGCATTATGCTAGCAACCCCCAGCTCCGGCATGGTCTGGTGTCTTTGTGCCATTCTCACCCATTGTGAACAAGATATTGGTGCCGAGCGTCTCTTACGTAACTATGCAAGAGCTTGCCCCAAATAATGTGATTAGCAACAGCATCTTTGGTGTGGAGAATTCAAAGTTAAAATGTGCCAAGCATTCTGAGCAAGTCAGTGCACCAGATGTATTTCAAATGTAAATCCCAAAGGGTATATAGGTTACTCGCAAATGGCTTATTGGACATTGGACATCATTTAGTGACCAGTTGCCAATTTTAGCTAAACACATATTGTGCTGTAAGTGCAATCTTATTAATTGTAAAAATCTTTAAAAATTGTTTGTGCTTGGCCAGTTTTGTCTGAGCAATTTTGTATCCTATTTGACATTCTGCAGACCCAGGCACAAATACCTAGATGTGGACTGTAACTTTTCAACAGCCACCTCAACTCTGGACTGCTACTGACCATTATTATGCTGAAATCCTTCTCAGGCTGTAGGTAAAGATGTCTGGTCTTCTGTGTGTGCATAGATTCACATGGACGTTCTGTTGAAAAGGTTCTGGAATTGTGTGGAAAAAAATATATTAAGAGAAAGGTTTTATTTTGATCAACCTAAATTCCTTGAGCATTGTTATGTTACCCTTCCTGAATCCTCTAAATTTCTTCATTGAAAACCAATGACACATGTTTTGTACACTAGCTTTCAAGGGGCATCAAGCCTCTGTGGCTGGTCTGTACCTTACCACTAATTGAAGATCCTCCAAAACCTCCTGGTGTACTTTGAAGGGTCTGGGAAGGTTTGTGTCAAAAACAAAAAATATTCAAAGCTGAGCAATATGTAAAACCCTATAAAACCCCGCAGCTTAGTTTTCAGGTGAGGGTATCTGAAGTGTAACGCCGCCTTCAGGTCAACCTTCGACGACACAGATCAGTCAAAGACTGACTTCTCAGGATCAAGCTGCGCCTGAGCTACGGCCGCCGCGAACATATCAGTCGTTAATTTTGTTACGACCCGAGTGTAACTGCGATGATATTAAGATGATAGGCATCAGTTGGCACTCAAAAAAATTAACAGGTGCAAGACTAGAATAAAATTTGAACTTCTGCGCCGCGACAGAACGTGTTCCTGACAGGCGGGAATCAATCGCAATCGACCTGTGTGAAGTTATAAAGTCGTGTGTGCATCAGGATCAACTTATTCCATTGTGTAGACAAACAGCGTGAGGCAAAAATGGCGGAATGAACAGACATGGCCGTGGAAGATCATGTGATTGTTATCAACATGCACTCAGCCATTTTGAAGATGTCACATGATCATGTCTACGCGGAGGAATTGTTGTCATGTCGTGGGTGATTATTTTGTGTCGAGATATCTCTTGTTCCACTAGGATCACATCATTTCTCAGTTTTGTGACCCGAGCATTACTTTTCTGCTTAAAACCGACGGTTCTGTTGCGGCTCAAGTCGACCTGAGGGCAGCTGTACAGTAACTGTGTCACACACAGAGAGTCAGTGCAGAAAAATATCCAGCAATGTGGAGAGCAGTGAAACGTGACCCAATCTGCCTGCTTGCCCTGAGTTTAACCACACAAAAGAAGTTTGTGAAGGGATTTGAGGTGTTATCCTTATATTAGGGGGGTTCAATTACTCTAATTTTAAAGTTGAACAAAGAAAGTGACTGGAGTGGGATTTGAACCTATGACCTCCGGATAACCATTCTGGTGCTCTGCCAACTGAGCTATCCAGTTCTATGATGATGGTTACCCGTTTATTCAATGTCTTCGTTCGAGAACCACTAGTCAGAATCCATGAACCCGTATATACCATGCAGCCAGGGGTCACCCCCCCCCCCCCCCCCCCCGCCCAAGTCTTGATGTTTGCAACATTAGCAATGCTGCAAAGCCGGGAAATAGCAAACGGGGATCCTTCAGGAAGGATGCGGCTTTTTGTTACAAATGTTTAAAATAAACCACAACGGGAAACTGAGCAATAAAATTAACCAAAAAAAGAGTATAAAGTGCAGTTCATGTTCCTATGTGGAAAGTGTTTAAGTATCAAATTGCACATGAATGTCATCCCTTTATTGACTTGCTGTTACTATCATTGTTCATCCATGGTAATATGTTTGAACTACGTTTTTTAATTTCTTGGGTATGACTTTTCGTGAAATTCCAAGCATATTGAAATGGGCTATTTATTCATGGACAGGTCATAAAATGTGAGGGACTGCAGTGCCTGTTCTTACTCAGTGAATTTGATGACTGCTTCACTCAAACCAACATTTTTGATCTGGTTATCAATGCTTGTATTCCTTGGATGATAGAAGAGAATCTTCTTTTCTTCCTGCAAATGAAGCAAAGTAATTATTAATTAACATCATTAATATAAAAACACAAGGCTAAATTACCTTGGAAGATGTTTGCAGATGACACAAACCTAAGATACTATCTCTAAAAGACAAGAGGCTCTGAGAAGGACTTCTTTTTAATTGTCATTAGGGGAATGCTTAGATCCCAGAATGTGCAGTGCTCAACGCAGGACCACATTATTGTTTAGGCCCAAAAAAAAATTAGTTCTGCTTCCGATTACAAGGTATTAGAAAATAGGTTAGGTAGGTAGGGAATTTTGTTTTTGTTGGCAAATTTTTTGTGTAAGATCATATGCAGGTGTCTGCGACTCTGCGTGTAGTCAAGGGTAAAAGGTAGTAATTGATAATTCTCAGGTTTTTTCCCCTAGAGGTACCTCTAGGGTGGGTTGAAATCCCTCAAATGTCAAACAAAAATGTGAAATTTACCAGAATTTCGTTCACCAAGATCACAGGAGTCTTGCACTCGGCTGTCTCTCATCATTTGCCGTCAACTGAGGGCGCTCTTATTCTCTTGACCAACTACAGTGCAGCTTTCATTCCGAGAGTGTTTTCGTACCTCACGCGATGAAAGGAAAGCCACGCTTTAGAGAATGATGATGATGAGAGACAGCCGAGTGCGAGACTCCTGTGATCCTGGTAAACGAAATTCTGGTAAATTTCCCATTTTTGTTTACATTTGAGGGATTTCAACCCACCCTAGAGGTACCTATCCACATCAGATAATACTTGTGAAATTTTGAGGCCGAACATTTCTGGACAGGAGAGTTTGGAGGTTTGAAACAATTGAGAATTTTCTGCTACAGCAACTTCAATTGGTCTTTCTGTAAGGTTTGTAAAAACCTTACAGTTCTGGAAGTATAAGATAACCTAATCAACTTTGAGGGCAAAAATCACCTTTTTTAAACATTTGGAGATGGTCGGGCGATAGTAGGGTCCTAGGATCATAAAGTATTTGGTGGTATCAATAACCTCTTATTGTCGCACAGGCCTTGTTGGAGGCTGCCATTTTGAATTCAGGAAAAATTGACTGGCATCAGACCAATAACAGGGCACTTTGATTGGTCACTTGGATTGGTCGCCATGGCGACCAATCAAAGTGCCCTGTGATTGGTCTGTCTGATGCCAGTCAATTTTTCCAGAATTCAAAATGGCAGCCTCCAACAAGGTATGTGCGACAAGGATGTTTCCTGAATTGAAGGTGAAATTTCTCTTTTCTTCCTAAAGGTATGTGAACCTAACCACCACCATTTGTATTTTCAATTCTCACTGAAGCCTACAGGGGCGCATCAGGCAGTTTGAGGACTGTTTTGGGGTTTAAATCTGAAGATTTTGATAGGGGGTACGAGTGAAAATGATTTTCTGTCAACACAAAATACCTCTCAACAACCCTTTCGCATCAAAAACGTTTGTATTTACAAATGTATTTGTTTTCTTACTCACATTCACTATTTTTTTCAAAAGAAACCTCCGTTGTTTTTACAAATTCGCTTCGTCGCGATAACTACTTCACAATTTGATGTCGCAGTGACATGTGCGTTAATGCTACATTGTAGCTCAATGCGGCGACGACTGGTTCCCGCGGCCAATTTAGAAGACATGATGAAAATGCAGTAACCAGTCTGTGCAAAGCCATGCTAGCGCTAGCATGGCTATGCACGGCAGGCCAACGCGGTGCACTGTCAACTGGTCAGTCGGATTCGACATCGTAAAAATGCCAAGAACACATCGATGGAGAGGGAACATTTTTGCAAGTTAATTCACAGAACTCGATCTCTCTTGTCTGTGTATGTATTTTCCGTGTTCAAGAGTTCATTTTGACTTTGAGATGGCACTACTTGTATTTGGAGTGATACGATGCAGTGTGTTTGCCCAAAATTGTCCACCGTAAAAACGAGGTCTGTCGCCCGCTGGCCACACAAGCATTCACGCATGCATTACGGAGTTTTGGCCATTTTTCCCGTCTTGACTAGCGTTGTGCATATGGTGCGCAAGGCCTGAATTTTCCGTTATTTTTTAAGAATTATTGAACGTAAATATATTGACAATAATTAAGGTAGGTGTTATTCACTTTGTGTGGCCATTTTGTGTATAGCTTTCGTAGTGCAATGGAAATAGTTCAGGCTAAATCTTCGCATATAATTAAATACCCCATTCAATCAGCATAAAAAATTGGCAAAAAAAAATTCCGACAGACCGTCCCTATTTTTGAAAGGCATATTATCGGAAGCAGAAGTATTTTTTGTGTGGCCTTATTGATACCGCCATGTACTTTATGATCGTAGGACCCTACTATCGCCCAACCATCTCCAAATGTTAAAAAAGGCGATCCACAGAGTCCTAGCTACTCGGACTAGTACAGCACAGCAACACCGTTGCCACACTGGTGGGGCTACATAAGTAAGTACTTAACATCCCCCAAAATAACATGTTGCATAATGGTTAGCCCCATCAATGTGGCCAATTTACTGGACACCCTCCGTAAATAAAGGCCACACTTCGAACAAGTACAAAAACATGTAGAACTTTGTCAAATTTTGATTTTCACATTTAGGCTTAGTTTGTTGTTTATTTTTGCTTTAGAAGCATACTCACCCTCTTTATAGGCTAATCAGAAAGTGTTGCCTTTTTCAGATGTCTATTTTTCGTGAAATTTCATGTTGAAATTTTGATACGCAATCGTGTGCAAATAAATCTGACATCTGAAAAAGGCAAGTTCCAAGTGTGGCCTTTATTTACGGAGGTAGTCCAGTAAATTGGCCACATTTATGGGGCTACATAATGGTATATTAAAAAGCGATACATTTTGAGTGTTTCTACGCAACTCAGGAGTGAGGCGTTGTTATTGACACCACATTTATGGGTCTACAAATACAATGGTCTAGGGTCCAAGTTACTCGGACTAGCGTGGAACCAGATGAAGATTCCTAGTCTTGGTAAAAAAAATTTAAGTCCCCAAAATCAGTCACTGCGTATGTTCAGTGCCGTGCTGGTATGAATGAAACTGAAAACAATTGCAATCGGGAACCGGTTCAAATCAAGGTCAAATATCCACCCCCTTTTTCTTAGTGATCCGTCATGTCTGTGGCTTTGGAGGGTCGGAGAACCATTTGGTTGATAGTCTTGTTCCAAGAGCCAAAGATCCTGATGTTGAATATTGTCAGGTCAGGGAACCAGACGGTCGACTCGCGTAACGCACTGCAAATTTTACTAGTCCGAGTAACTTGGACCCAACTTATCGCCTTTTTAACACTCGGACATGGTCTGGCGATAGTGGGGTCCAAGCTAATGGTTATATGCCGAGCAACACAATTCTGTCATTGACCCAAAAACCCAACATTGCCCAACAAAAACATCAGATTTCACCCTCAAAACGGCCTCCAAATTACTAGATATGCCACCTGAGGTACAAGTAGACATCGATAATTAAGATGGTTGTACTGAAGTTTACTTGCGATCCGGATGAAAAGTGAAATTTCCTGTTCAATTCCGAGAGCTCCCCTCGAGATCGTGAACACGTTAAATTTCCGACTCACGTTTGAATTGCGATGTGGTCTTCATGCCCAGCGTTCATTCGATGGTCCCCGTATCCCGAGTGATATTCCGTTACCGAGGGCGCGCAATGCAACCGAGCGCGCGCGATGCATCGATTATGATAATGAGTAGACTGGATCACGTTTGTAAACACAGGTGCATTTTGAACGATAATAGGGAATCGGGAACTAGGGCAGATTTTATGGACGGAAACTGGTTCAAGCTAGTTCCTGACTCCCTTTCATCGTTCAAAATGCATTTGTGTTTACAAACGTGATCCAGTCTCCTCATTATCATAATCGATGCATCGCGCGGCTCGGTTGCATCGCGCGCGCTCGGTAACGGAGTCGCACTCGGGATACGGGGATCATCGAATGAACGCTGGGCATGAAGACCACATCGCAATTCAAACGCGAGTCGGAAATTTAACGCGTTCACAATCGCGAGGTGAGCTCTCGGAATTGAACGGGAAATTTCACTTTTCATCTGGATCGTAAGTAAACTTTAGTACAACCATCTTAATTATGGATGTCTACTTGTACCTCAGATGGCGTATCTCGTAATTTGGAAGCCGTTTTGAGGGTGAAATCTGATGTTTTTGTTGGGCAATGTTGGGTTTTTGGGTCAATGACAGAATTGTGTTGCTCGGCATATAACCATTAGCTTTGGACCCCACTATCGCCAGACCATGTCCGAATGTTAAAAAGGCGATAAGTTGAGTCCAAGTTACTCGGACTAACATTTTACTAATAATTCAATTCTTCCCGAAATAAGTGCAACGCGATTCAACTCACCTCACCCTCTTTCGGACCGAGTGTTGGGTTATAAATGAAGAATTGCTGCAGCATCACACAGCTCCTGGGAGTGGACGTCATGGTGTCGGTGAGAAAACTTCCCCGGTTCTGATATCCAAAATACATGAGCAGTATATCTGACAAAATTCAGGCAAACATTAGCCATTAAATTTCAACAAGTTCCGAGCACGTTGACCCGACGTACCCGTACATGTATGGAAACTCCCTCATATTTTGGACAATCCATTACCAAATGGGGGTCACACAGTATTGATCGACTAATTGTATGTGAACAATGACATTAAAATGCAGAAAAATAAAAATATGAATACTACACAAATTTATTCAAAATGCCTTTCGGTTCACGAACTTACCAGTTTGTCGACGGAACAATTTCAGATCAAAATGTTTTGAGATGTCTACAATAGTTCCAACCTGTACCTTAATCAACGCTCCCGCAAATGCAATAAGTTCCGAGGTCAAAGGTTGTCGTATTTATTTGCATGTTATTTTTTAGATCTTGTCAACACGGACGAACAGGAACAGCTGATTGCATGCATACGCTGTACAATGATCTAGCAAAACCATACAATTCTTTTGATAAGATATACTGTCCATTTAAAAAAAAATCTTACCCTGAAGAAGACTCCCGATTTAGTTAGTTTAAAGGGGGAAAAAATTATCAAACACATTTTAAATCATCTTCGGCTAGATCATTTTACAGTTAGAGGCTCAAAACTAACGCAGATTAAAAGCCTATCTGGAGGGTTGCAGACCTCAAAAACAATATTTTTAAGAAATGTCCTTTTATTGAAAGTAAAACTTGCGACAGTATATCATCTCAAAAATGTGGAACTGTTTTTTTTTTGTAGATCTGAAGGGCCAACCTATTCTCTGATTCACTTACTGCACACACCGAGTATAAAGAATGTCCTTTTTTTTCAATGTGACACTTACAATAAAACACTAAACACCTGAATTACAAGTACTATCACCAGAAGCAATTGCTAACTTTATTTGAGAACACAGACAACAAAATTTAAATATGGAATACATTTCTTCTCGTTTATAACTTCAACATTTACACATTTAAATGAACTGTCCAGGCTTGATGATTGTGAGACAATAGTTATCTTGGTTGTTGTAATGCTAGCTTATACATCAAAACTAGAATTGAATTCATCATATCAATCAAACAAAATACCTCAATCAAATTAATACTAATGCCGAAAGAGATAGTTAAAATATACATATGGATGAGTTTATATGATTGACATTTGACCTATATTTGTCTCATGAATTAAACATGAACTGACAATGAATACAATTCAGAGTTTTTTTTTTTTACTTGACTTCAATTTAACTATTTTTTTTGTAAATCTAATGTCTTATCGCATGGCAAGTTAAAATTACACATTAAACTCATAATTTACATTTTCTGAGTGCGTATGTCCATTTCTATTTTACCCATATTTACACATTCATGAGTACATGTTACTTAGCATTGTTGTTTTTTTCTTTTGATGCAGACAACATTCATAGAAATATTATTTACATATCCAGAAAAAAATATGTAGCATAAATATACATGACAACTTGATTGCGGCATTCACCAAGTGCTTAAGAATACAATCATTTAGTACTACATGACAGACTACAAGAGCCTCCAACACCATAAACCTAGAGAAAAAATATTATAAGTCAAAGAATATAATGGGAATCCTGGGTAATTCTTCAGAAGGATATAATTTACTGTAAACTTTCTTTTATACAGTGAAAATAAAAAGGTGTTCATGTTAAGTTCAGAATTAATTGTTTGTTTAAGTCAATTTATTCTGGTTGAGGTGTCTTTTAATAAATTAATGACAGTCACACTTTGGTTACATTTTTCACAAAATCTGATAAGTGAGGGTGAGTTTTTGCCATCATATTTCATTTAAACATGGAAGCATTTTTTTCACTTTTGGTGTAAATATGCATTAATGTCACTCATAAAAATGGTTACATCCACCAAGAACCCCGAAAACACCAAAATATAATAAATACACAAAAGTAAACATTCCCAACTCCCAAGTGCACATTGAAATAACCAAGTCCAAATATTGTCAAGATAAATGAATGTAAGACCAAAGTTTCTGCAAATTCAAAAGAAACAAATGTTTTTCGTACTCTTGATTGTCTGAGCATTTCTTCCATCATTGTTGAACATGATAACATTGAATAATTGTGACCTAGTGATTTGACATGCGACAGACTCAACTACAGCTCTGTTATGTATAAGAACAAAAACTATGGGTCTTGTGGAGGGTGGAGACCTTATTTGGCAGTTCCTAATATTCTGGCTAGTCACTCCAAAAAAATATCCAGATCCCCAATTTAGATCAACAGAAAACAAACAGTGAAACAAAAGGAAAGAACTGGAACAGAGCCAAGTACACAGCGCTGGTAATACATAAATGCCCAGGAAAACTGGTTGCCTGCCAAAATGCCATGTGTGTGTTGGTTGTAACTGGTACTTGGCCAGATTCAAGTGTCTGTGTCCCCAGGGCCCAAGCACAGGCTGATGATGCATGACCCTCCACAGGCAACATTCATGTGCCAGGGTCCAAACACCATGCCTGGATCTGACGCCAACCATTAATGTCATGCATAAATATCATCATCATTACAACATTAATAATTCAGTTTAGCTTGCACACATTTTTTTTGCATTTTCAAACAAGAATTTGTACAGAAAATGGATCAGCCTGTGACAGTGTAACAGTTGAGACTAATGATACAAGCAAAATGTGTTCACTTTTTATTTCTGCAAAAACAAAAGTCTCTGCCTGCAGCTCCTTGCAATCGTTCAGCAGACTTACCCCAACCAAACTTGTCCACCCTAATTTGCTCAATCTGAAGAAAAAAAACAGGGCAAAAATAATATAGTAATAACCTTATTAACAGAAACAAAACCCATTACTGTTTTTTAACCCCCCTCCAAAAAAAAAACCCTCGCAAAATATATGCAAACAATTTAACAGATTGTGTCAAGTAAAGAATCAGTTTGAAAACTGTGTAAGCAACTCAGCTTTGTTATTGCACATTATAAGCTACAAACAAGCTAGATATAAAACAGCCAAACCACCAATGTCAAAACCATCCCCCAGTGAAATTCCAAATTCAAAACAAAACCATTAACCAATTATGCACTGTACCGCCCTCAATCGCCCCGCCTACTACTCCCTGTAGCACCCCAAACCGCCCGAGCACTCTATGGTTCTACTGGTTAATCAGTGAATAAGTACAATGTAGTACTAGCTAATGGTTAGTCCATACACAATTTAAAGTGGAAATGCTTCATTTCATCCTGATGTGTATGATGAGTGTTGGGGGCATTTCGCCTACTTTACAAATGGGCAACTTTAATCAATCACTTGAAAGTTGTTCTCCTTTTTAAAACAGTAACTTACCTGTTCTCTTTTGATATCAACACATTTCTTTTGACCCAAACACATATTTAAATTACTGTTTAACCATTGAAACCCTTGTAAATGTAGGCTGTCTAATTTAAAGTTCAAGTGGAATTTAACAATCAAGGTGCCACATTCAAATTTATGGATGCATTCCAAAGTGCAAGTAGAATGCAATATTAAGAAATTTTTAACATTATCTGCAGAAAATACCCACAAAACTATGAATTCTTCGACATTACATTACACATCAACAACAACAAACAGAACTGAAGTCACAGAATACTAAATGAATTCAAACAAAACTCGAAATGCTGATATTGGCTACACAGTATTGCAAGGTTAATTTTCTACAAGCAGTTTTTTCGATTTACATTTCTGGAAAATAAAACACATCGGCAGGTTTATCACCAAATTTTTATGGCAAAATGTACATGATCATTGAATTTACCTTAAACTGCTCCCTTGAATTTTCAATCTCAGTCTCTTCCACCTACTCAAATGTTCCAAAAATCCAACACTGTGAAGTCAACAATCAATGCATTCTTGGCATTCAACAAAATTGGGACATTAAAGCCCACGTAAAGTCACAGTCTGGACTCTTGTATCTTTCATTAATATCATGCAAATCCAGGAGTGGTTTTTATCAGATCTGGGATGATTTGGTTTGAGTACGAGTCACGTTTGTATTCGAGTGCCTTTCCATGAGTACAAGTAACAGTACTTAGCCATGAGTACAAGTACTTTGCCATGAGTAAGAGTATATGAGTACAAGGCAAATTTTTTGAGTACGAGTACATTTCCAAGAGTTTTGAGTACGATTACTTTTAATGGTTACACATGTTCTCAAGGGCTTTGTGCTGTCAAACTAGGCATTAGATAAATGCAAAAGCCTCCCCAAACGGTAGAACATTCACCCCCCCCCCCCCCCCCCCCCCCCCCGCATGTACCTCTTAAAGAAAATTAAAATTCCAGTGGAGAATATTTCCATAAACACAAGAACAAGTGTGAGTACTTTGTAATGAGTTCGAGTACATGTGTTTTTTTTGGAGTGAGTACAAGTAAGAATGTGAGAACGAGTATGAATACGAGTACATTCTCATGAGAACAAGTACGAAAAACATTTATGAGTACGAGTACTACAACATAAACCTGTTATGAGTTGAACTGATGTTGCAATAAGGCAACTTAATGTCTAATGGCAAGTCTTGAGTATATACTGTTTTATCCAATTACTGATCGTCAGGACTATAATGGTCATGGGCATAAAATCAAATCAATTATACAACCCCCCGAATTTTGCCACATTTTAAAAATTAAATACACTATCCTTATAATTAGATTTAGATATTTCATTACAGTACTGATTTTTTTTTTAAAATCTCAAATTCACTTTTGGAGGGTTTAAAAAACCAACATGAATATGTTCACAAACATATGTGAAGCTATATAAGCTAAACAAAATCATTGCCTGCAAGCCGAACTCTTCAAGAGATGTTAAGGAGAACTTTCAAAATGTACGCCTATTTGCTGAGAACATAAATGTTTGATCATAGGAGGGAATCTGATGACAAGAAATGGAAAAGCAGGCTCTGCAAAGGCTGCTTGAGATGCTGATGAATACGGCTTGATCTTCTTGTTAACTGACACGGAGTCTTTATAATATCTTACGCTGTGATCAATATTGCAACGTTCTACAATAAGCTTTTCCTACTCTGCTTGATGAATATCAAAGATGATACAAGCAGACAGACCAATCAGGTGGTTTTAAGTGATACATTGTACATGTCAATATTCTTTACTGAAGACGTCAGGGTTTAACTTGACACCAAAATTTTATACAGCGTAAATAAGCATGCTGCCAGAAAATGAAAAGTATGTGCTTTTTAGTTTTGAGATATGAAATGGTTGCAAGACAGAGAGATACACTTAATACCATTATAACTTTCTGCATTGGTTGTTTTTTATCAGTACAATTTTGAGCTTTTTAATGCAAGTATAAAATTGGGAAATTCATATTTGGAAGGAGTACTTACAAGTACCGGTATTTGAATTACAACCAGTAAGAATTTCAGATTTTAATATAATTTTTTTTGTGATAGCAGAATTTCTGACGTTTGGATTTGAATTCCTTTTTAAAATCAAGCCAGAGGGTGTTCAAGAGAGTCCCTAGCCTTTCAAGGGAAACTATATAATCATAACGTCATGCTCTGCTACTGAAATCACCCATGTGAATCGTAATACATGCACCACACATCCATCAGGCAGTTTTGTTTAGAATATCTTCTGAGTTTGAAAGGTTCCGATAGATATGTGTTTTCATAAATGTGACATTAATGTGTCAATGCCAATGGAAGTTGCAGCCATGCATTTTCTTGTGCGTCCTCTCAATTTATTGGCAAAGGCCAATATTGGCCAGACAATATTCAGTTTGGTTGGAATGGACTTATCCATGTCTCCAGATGTCATGCCGTGACGCGCTAGTGGTTTGTCACTCACGGTCTGATGACGCTGTTGCAATTTAGAAAGAGGAATCCTGTACATGTAAGTAGGCATTACTGTACCTCCTCAAGAAGCTCACAATGCAAACCAAGGTATGTGAAATACAAGAGTCCAAGGATTATAAAGCTTTTAAACCCCCCCCCCCCAAAAAAAAGTTTCCTCCAGGAACGTACTTAAAGTACCTTATAGAAATCTCAGATTATCAGCAGCAAACAGAGTACTACATGTATGAATGTCTGAACATGATTTCAACACCAAGCATGCGTTTGACATGATTCTTTTCCCCTTATGATTTATCAAAAATAATATTCAGGAAAGAGGTGACACCTATCAAATTCATGTGATACTTCTTCTAATTAGTGAGCAAATGTTCCTTTTTGCAAAGACGGAAAAAAGTTGTTAAGGAATTCTTAAGTCAAAGGAACAACCCAGTCAATACATTCTGGATGTACATGTGTCTGCAAAACGAAGGAGATTAAACCACAAACATTTGGACAATTTCAGTGTGGATGGCTTGCCTGGCATTAGTTTTGTTTAACCTTGCTTTGACATGTACATAGAGAATACCCACTCTAAAACAAAACTGGAAATGTGACAAAATATCTCAGACTAGTTTATGAATACATTGACTTAATACCCTTCCACCATCCGCCCTTGACGTGTATACAATGTCATCTTGTTTCAAGATATATATACATATATGTTTATGTCAATCTAAACTTTGTCTTCATCGTCTTCTTAAAAATTGGCTTGGCCCTGAATTTCTCTTTTTTTCCTCTCTTGATCAAATTTCTAATCCACTATACTATTCCTAAGTTTTAGTTTCTTCATCATGGAATAATCACAGAATCATAGTGGCTGGCAAACTTCTCAACAGCGCCCTCTACTGTTAACTTCAGTACACCAGCAGTACCCTCACATGCATGCATCTGACTAATATGACTCCCCCTTTCCAAGACTGGTTCCACACTGGCGAGATATCACTTGTACTTTATGCCAAACTCTTTGTTCATGACAGTGAATCCAGATCAGGACCTATTTATCCCAACTTGGCCGTCTCCTACAAAAATGCGTTTTAGTTCACGTCCCTCATACGTCAGTTTTATACCAATTCTCATCATGCCATGGAAATTCCTCGACACAAAATCCAAAATGGTAACGATGCAAATCTGGATCCCTCAGTTCAAACTTGTCTTTGAGTCAATCACTTTCCAGCAGACTTGGATGGTTGGATGTTTTTGCCCACGTCAAATACTGTACACAGTTTCTCTTGAAGTTCATAGTGAGTTGGATCCGACACTGGCCCTGTGGCCTTGTGGTCTCTCCTTTAGAAACAGCACCCAGAGGGCGTTTGCTTCTGCTGGTCCACAAAATCTCGCACATTGAATCTCGGCTCGTTGGGACGTCTTGTCTTCTTCATTTTCAAATCCCTGAAAATGATCAGAACGAATGGGTTACTTTCTACAGTATGTTCTGAGTAATACTAAGGGAATAAATGTGTGCTTAGCCGGTTTTAAACACTATGTTTAAGACTGGTTGGAGTCTGGATGGGTGATAATTACCCGAGCCAAAGACAATTATCAGCATCCAGACTCCAACTGGTCTTATCCAGTTCGCGCTGGGATTATTTTGACATGACCAGACCCAAGCGCAGGATTGTTTTTCACGAACCTAGATGCCAGATGGGTTTAGGCCGTCAACTGCGGGTAGCACACCCTGATATTTCTGGCCTCACTCGCTTGGAGCGGGTCTCAGACAGATATTTCTGGCCTCGCTCATTGCATGTTTATCCTTCATCCATTCTGAATACCGCATAACCTTTGCGTGTATACACATTATCCAACGTGAACTGGTTAAACATAGTGTTCAATACCAGCCAAGCACATATTTATTCCCATTCATAAATACCTTTTTCGGTCAAAAAATCAAGTCAAAACAAGTCAAAAATTATTTAAACTTTGATTTTGTTCAACAATTTTACTTCATGTTTTTTTAAACACCCCTCTGGCTATATAATGGAATTACCCGGTAGCAAATAGTAGTAAACAACTCCTTTCATGGAGATTGGCGGGTGTGTCGCACGTACTGAACGATGTGGCGCAGAACGCAGCTGTGCTGGTGTCGTGTGAATTTAGGACTATGAAATACTGACTAACTGGTAGTATTGCGCATGCCTGCACATGCATTGTGATCGTTCAACCAATAAAACGGTAGCTAAAAGGCACCGGATTTCAAAGGAGTCCAAATTTCATGTGACACTGGAAAAGTGACCAGCCAGCCGGTCTTTATCAGCCATTTAGAACCGGCCATGTGACGGGCTCTCGACCAATAGGAATGGGTAAACTGTCTTAGGTATGTACCGGGGGTATGAATAGACTTTCAACGGACTGTACATGTAGACAGCTATGTGTTATCAGTTTAGTTTGACAATCTGCCTAAATAAGCTTAGAAATGAATAAACAAGTCAAGCAATTCAAAAGTGTTTCGCTGGTCCCAGAGGGCAAGCCTAAATTGTTCTTTTTCCTATCTCACTGACTGACTGACTGACTCCCCAACTGACTGACTCCCCGACTTACATTCACTTGTGAGCCAGGCAGTGCTACTGTATACAATTACCCTGTACTGCCAGTAAATACGCTAATTTTGTTCCATTGTGTAAACTAGATGCATAAAAATACTTCCAGGGAATAGCCATTCTGAATCAATTGAAAGAGTAAGACTGGGGGACAATGAAAGATCCACGAAATATTCAGCGGAGTGTTGGTTATCGTGATCACAAAGGAGTGTAACAACAAACAACTCAAGAACACGCAATTAATGGCCACACACATACCAGTTGTGTGCTTAGTTTAGTACAAAATTAAAACAAAATCTCAGGAAATCCAGATTTCAAAAGGGTTTTGTTCTAAAAATCCTACAATCTGGAAAAATCCAGAGAAATCTCACCCCTATAATTGAGTAGAATTTTGTACATTGTGGGACCGGCTTTACTGGGCTTGCCTTCTTTTTTTTTTTTTTAAGTAAGGCAAGAAAAGCAGATTAAATGTAGTTCTCAATGCGTTTCCATGACAACACCTGAACCTAATCTGTGGATGAGCAACTTACTTAGCGACGGCCATGAAGGAAAGATCCACGTTGAGCCCTGTCTTTGCACTAGTCTCCATGTAAGCAATTCCATTGTCCTGCAATAAAAAGGAAAACTGTAAGTTTCAGTCCAAACAAAAAGACACAAAGATTTCCTTGTTTTGCTGCAGTGATTAAAATCATGGATCCACAACACAAAGTGCACTTCTTGAAAAAAACAAAAAAAACAAAGCAAAATCTAAAAAGGAGACTAGACAACCAAGACAACAATTTTTGTCATGCGTTAAACAGGAAGTAGGATGGGACTACCTACGTCAATGGAAGATATTTACTGTGGAATAATTGGATTCAAGACGTCAGCGTACGAGGTTGCTTGAAACCATTGGGATTAGAAAAAAATCTGCAGCAATAAAGTCTTTTGCCACGGATGACTTTGAGAACAACTACGTTCGTGTGTCCAGTTCAACCAGGTGAAGTCAGGTGAAGTAAAATCTTAATCCAGTGGTGGTTGTTTTTGAGGTACACTTTTACTTGGATAAAAACTGGAGTGATTTTGTTCTTCTGACTGCAGGTGTCCCCTAAGCAAGCTATTTTACAAGTGTTTCTTTCACTCAGGAATAAATGAGGATGAAGTACATGTACAGCGAAGCTCCATGCATGCTTTTCCAATTTTAGTGTCAGTAACAATCAAAATCTGACGTATAAATATTAAAAATTGGCCTATTCCAATTTTCAGGGTAATTAAAACTGTACATGATTTTTGAGAAAACAATGAAAACTTTATTTATGGTAAAAAGTGTTTCTAGCCAGAAACCAAAGTAAAGTTCACGTTTCTTCTAAATGATGGCAAGTCAGATAGTGTCACGCCCATCTTGATTCAAAGTAAGAGTAAGCTTTTTGTCTAGTTTGCAAATGTAAATAAGAGCCATTACATACATGTAAGCCAAATTCAGCCCAATTGCACGCTTGTGGTATTTTTTTTCTGACATTGGGATGAACTCAGAGACATGTGCTTATGTTCCTGAGCAAGATACTTTATCACAATATCCTGCAACCAGCCTGTAACGGGTTTGATGGTACTTTACAGGATTTAGCCTCTGTTGAGTCAAAAAGGATCTAAAGATTTTTTTTTTTAACAAGAAGCATTTGAAGAGCTTCAGGAAAAGGGGAGTTTTACTTCATTCCATTTATTTCAAGTGTTTATCCCATCTATACCGATGCGCTACTAGAAGTTGGGAAAAGTTGATGGAGCACCTTGGCCAATTTCTCCGCCTCCTCTCTCTTGACCAGTCTCTCTGATGTCATGTCTGACTTGTTGCCTAGCAACATCACCACCACATCGTCGTTGGCATACTCGTGGATCTCCGACACCCACGCCTGCAGCAGATGAGAGTTGGAAGGGAAGAAACAAAAAAAAAACAGAGAGAAGGTGAAATGACAGCGAGCTGATTAGCGGAGCATTTTGATGGCTTGGTAACAATGGAGCAGGAAAGCTAGGCCACCTGGTCCCACTGGAACCTGTCCAATGACAGTACTCTTACTTTGCAATTATCTCTAATTCCGCCTACGTGCAAGTCAAAAAGAAGACATACATGTATAATGCTTGGGTAAGCTTTATAACACAAATGTTTATGTATAACAATCGCCGCCGTACGGTCCATGGCATTTTGTTCTCCTGATGAGGCAGCAAATGGCACCAAAAGGCAAAGCCCACGGTGCCCATTGGCCTCAAAGGGTGTACAAAACCCAACCCATACTATTAAAGGCTGCTCCAGTTCCATTCCAATTTCAAATATTCATCATAAGTGCCAAAAATCTTACAAATATGTCTCAAAACTGAATCATCATTAGCGTACTGAATAAATTAAGGCATATTGCCGCTGTATTCACCTGTTCATCACGGATTAAAGCCTAAATTTATCCACCATAAAAAAAAACTAAAAAAACAAACAAACAAGCTTTTATAAAAAATATCACAACCAATTTACTAGTGCCTATGTAAATACATACATAGATCCTATCAATGCTGATACATGAAAATTAACCCAGTTTAATATGAACATCTTCAACTCGGTCCACTCCCCACAAAGAGACGTCTTCTCAAGACACACACCATGTTGGAGGGTTTTTAGCACTGAGCCACTCAGCCGGACATGTAACCTTTTTATAGTTAGTGGGTCAATCCACTTACCTCCATGTGGTAATCTGAGTAGAGAGGAAGCTAGGGTGAAGGAATTGAATTTAAAGTCCAAGACAAGGGGAAAGTCCTCTGGGCGAATCTGTCGTCCACTATCATTTGTGATTGGATCCAACCAAATAAGTCTTCAAGATGATTTCTTTAAGTGTACTACTAGAAATAGCACACATGTATTCATTTCTTCATTTTGAAAGCTCTTATTTACTTTGTCTATTAAATGTCATCGTGTCCGAATCGTTTCATGGGAGCTAACTCAGAAATCAGTAACACAATTTCTACTTCATTTTTGCGTTGAGTTGAGTTACTTTTCATTTGTGCATTTGTTTTTCAAAACAGAGAGACAGACAGTGCCATGACTTCTGATACAGGACCCGTATTAATTGATGACCAAGACTTTGAGACATGGCCGTAAGAGACATACATGTATAGGATTACTTTGGTCGCAGACCACCGGTAGCACTTGACCTGCATGTACATGTTCATGTACGTGACTAAAAGGCTTGGTTTTGCTATGGTGGCTCTTAGTGCATGGATGATGTGTAGAAACATTATCACTTTCTCACTGCCATTTCAAATCATTAATAAAGATCGTGCATAATGCACTTCAAAGTTCCAATGGTTTGAAAAACTTTGTTCGAAGTTGGAAATTTGCTGTTTGAAATTCTGTTCTCAATTCAATCCATGCACCAACAAGTTTATGATGTGAGGCAGCTGTACTTGTCAAATTGAATTGATCAATAGTCTAGTTGTTATGAATCTTTTGAAAAAGAAAGCAGTTCGTCAAATGTCAGCAGACTGTTAGTTCACTGAATTCCAAACTAGGCCAAATGTCAAACGTACAACAAAAAGCAATTTAGCAAAGTTCCTGCCTACATTGTATTCATGAAAGGTTAACTCCAACTAGGACTACTTGTAAACAACTCACACTTTTTCAACAGCCTTTCGCATAAATAAAAATTCAATAACCAACTCGAATGGTACTGTCAATGAAAGGATAGTATACAGTGCTATGTCCCTGTACCGATCAGAAAACAGAAAACATGGATCTGTCACAGATTTTTTTTTCAACAGTCTATAACCTGTGAAACAGCCTTTACAAAATGCAGTGTCTTCACACTCTCAGTATACCAATCAAACTTCTACATGTATACCCTGTGTTGGTGAAAATTGGTGACTTTGTAACTTTGAATTGTGCTTCTACTGTTAAATGTTGAAACACTGGTTGTGATGTTCATGGTGGAATGTTTATAATTTGGCAAAGGACAGCGGACTGGCGTAAACAAACATTCTTCTCAAACAGCAATGAAAAGAGAAAAAATATCTTTTCATTTCTGAACGCAGACTAACGAACTACATGTCTATCACTGCAACAAGGATGATTTTATTACAGAGAAAATGTCAGTGAAATGAGACTGGCATCCCCCTTTTCCTTCCACATCAATCAATACAGACTGATACTTGCTTTGGAGATTTCTGTCCCGATTTTTAAAATTTGCAAAAAGGTGTAAATGGAGGATTTTCTATTGTTCCTCTTCCCTTTTCCTTTGTTTATAATCTAACTTTTTTTGCAACAGCTGAGCTCTTATTGGTTTTGTACACGTTTTCTAACCAAGGAGTCCTCGATTTGGTTCCTGCCCTCAATTCATCGATGATGTTGCACATGTGCGTCCTCGATTTACACCATCGCCAGCATATTTTCCAAATCTTGTGTGAAAACACTCCTTTGTTCTGGTGCAGTTAATTTAAGAGAAAACTTGTTTAAAACGTTGCCACTTGAACTGTGAAACTGAATATTTGACCGTGATTTCCTTGAATGTCCTAACCCCCGACGAGCTCTAAGATTGTTTGTCAGAAAGTGGAAAAACATTATGTAGGACCTGTACAAGTCCACATAACATCTTAAACTCCTGCATGGTATAAACATCTTTTGTTGACAGCTTCAAACAGCGAGTGCACTACCTGTACACACAGCACAGACAATGCTTTCAGGCTTTTCATTTATACAGCCCCCTGATTACTTCTTGTGAAGTACCACGCACCTTCAATGCAAATGTGATTAAAAAAATTGTAAGTAGCAGCCCACATACTACGGATATGATTAACGCATTACATGTAAACAGAATGAGCAGACTAGCAACAACAGCACGCACACACTAGGTGGTAATTTTATCCGCCTTATCAAGTATCATTAGCTTTCTTTCCTGTTCCCAACACACACAATAGACATCGTAATTAAAAAAAAATAAGATAATGTCACATTTTAAAATAGTGTACAGTGTATATTGGATGTGCATGACATTTCAGTTGAGTGGGCATATTTTTGTTGTGTAATTTTTGTTTTTGTTTTTTGTTTTTTTAAAGATCTCTCATAGGACGCCATCTTCGTAGGAAATTTAAAACTGTGTGTTCAACGCCACCAGATGCTGTGCGCGCAGTGTGCAAAATGTTCTAAACACGCGCGCGCTTTGCTTGAAATGTCTTTGAAATATGGCGCAGCCGATGTGCGTCAGAAAAGTTTGACGCCAAATGCCGATGCACGTGGCAATCTGTAGGAAGTGACGTCATTTGAGAGAGACCTACATGTATATTTGTAAACTATTTGCGGGCCGAAACTGGAACAGCAAGAAATTCATTTTGTGATCGTTTTGCCCACCCATGTTGAAATCAACATGAAATCAACATGGGTCCACTATGCGTGACACTCGGGTCTTGTTGAACATGGGTTACTCTGTTCACACACTAGTGTGTACATGGGCCATCTATAGATGTTAGATTTTCTACCTAGGTAGAGCTTCTCCACCCTGTCCCCGACCAGGGTTGCAATTTACTTATGTAGAGCGCTGGACCTGTGTAGTAAGCCATGTTGGATTTTTGTAAGTGTGAAAGAGGTTGCCAACCTGGGTCCAACACAGAGATTTTGGAGCATGTGAAAGGGTCTTTAATTATTTCTGGCAATATTCAAGTTTTTACTTCAACTCCAGCTACCACTATAAAGGTTAGTGGACTACAGGTTACTGAGACTGTGCAAAAAATTAGAACTGAAGAAAATTGTGTGAAACATCCAATGTTTCTATGTTTTAATTTCCAAAAATCAAAATTTGTTACAATTACCGGTACATACAGTATGTACATGTACCTTTGAACTCAAAGACATTTTTATCTGCAAAATGCATAGTTTGGAGCCACAAGTGCAAATACAATTTCCAGCTAAAATCCTACAGCAGCAAACATACTTTTCCATCCATGAACATGAATGACATATATGTTATCCCCATAATGCTCATCCTTAGTTTAATATTAATATAAACACAGTCTTTGAACATCTGTCCTCAAGGCATCAAGAAAATGGAAATTCCACACGTGGGTTCTTAAAACCCACACAATGGTATAATCGCTGTCATTACTTTCTTAATTCAAGATATCACCGGCAAGAAAACTTCATCAATGACTCAAGCAGGGCAGCTACAGTGTTTAGCCAGATGGCACCGAAACTCCTGCCTGGTTTAGGCTGAATATACAATACGTGTACAGTAGAAGATTGTTATAAGAACCCCGCTATAACATGTACATGTACATGTACAAACAGGATGTAAAAAAAAAAAGGTAATCCGAAAATAATGGGTTATGTGAAAACCTCCCCATTTAATCATCATCCACTACGATGGTGCACTTTTTGGACAGTGGGTTTCTGGTCTTTGTTTTTATAATTTGATGGTGCTCGATTATCCATTACTGCAGAGATGCAAATTTGATATCAATGGAAAGCTGAGGAACCACCCTTAAAATGGAGCCACTTTGACTATTTTCAAGTTCATCATCTTATCACACATTTCCATCATTTTTGTGTTACTTTTTTGGGATACACCCTGTAGAGTCCCCTAATATTGCGCACTCAATTTCTCTGACTTTCTGAAAATTGTGTTGCCAAACTTCTTTGTTGAGGAGCTTCAAACTATTTCACTCAAATATTCATATCCCCCTGTTTTGAAAACCTGTTTATCAGAAATTTTCAGAAATTGGTAGAAAATTGGGATAGATCTCGTAAAGAAAAGTAGGGGATATTTTGTAAAGTTTTCAATAATTTAAAAAAAAAATATTCCTAATATTTTGGTACATCCACACTTTAGTCTAGTGACTTTTTCTCTTCCTTCTTCTATTATTTTGTAAACCTAAATGTATTTATAAACTGGCAGAGTGAAAGTTACATATACTCTGTAGATGTAAAGCACTTTTAGAAGCTGCTCAACATACAACATAAAAATTCAAATGCTTGCCATAAGTTGTGTCTTTGAGCAAGCTGTTTTACTTGCATGCCGGTATTTCCAAGAAGAAGTACATGTACCTGAAGAGTTACCTACGTACACTTGTCTGGCATCCCATCCATGGGAATAGAAATATCCTAAGTCATTTCAAGTAAAGGAAAATGGGGCCATGTTTGGTTGGGTCAAACTTCACTTTATACTCAACATAAAAATGAACAGGAGGTTTGCGGTAACACCAAGAGAATGAAAGATATATCTTAGTGGGTTGTGTGGTTCAGAGAAGAACCAGTTGTCATGGTTGTAACTCGACGTTTCGAACAGTATGGTCTGCTCATCATCAGGAGACTGATGACGAGCATAAAAAAGAGTAAAAACAACAACAAAACAAACAGATGTGCCACATACATGTAAATGTGAAATAACTAGCCTTTGCCTAAATTGCATGACTCTAGTGTCAACAAACAAGGTATTGCCAACAATCTGAACCCTATCAGGAAAAGTCATCTTCATCCAATCACTGAGTCTGCTCCACCTTTAAAAAATGCAGACGATAACTGAATCCTGGCGACGGTCTGATGCATAATTTAAGATGGCAGTCAACCTATGGACTCGTGCCTATTCTCCAGCCGCCTCAACTCCCACGCCATGGCACGACGCAGGGAAACACACCGGCAATAAAGCTGCTATCACAGAGCCCACTGTGGGATGATTCACAAGGGACTTCAATTTCATGATGTGTTTGGAATAAAATGTGCTTGCCTGGTGAGTGACTGTGAGTGAGATACATAACAAGTACTGTATCCACACATCACTTGCTGTGACCAGACTAGTATCACTTAACCAGGGCCTAGGGTGAGATTGGAGGACATTAAAATGTATTTGCCTACAGGCACGCCTTAAAATAACCATTTCTGTCGGTCCACAAACTTTCGCAGGTAAAAACACAATACCGGTACAATAAAACTTCAGGAATTCTAGATTTCAAAATGTTCTTTTTTTTTTACCTTGAAATCTGGACCAATCCTCAGAAGAAAAATCTTGGAATCAGGACAAATTCTGGCAAATCTCATCCCTGCTTCACTTGTCACCACACCAAACTTAATTTGTATGCATCTCGTGTCATTTATTTCTTTTATTAGTTTTGGATGATGCAGAGATCTTCGAAAACAGGATATCAGTCTGTCCTGGTGAAAATGTGCAAACTTGTGTTCACATCGGTAAGGTGTATACACTTCATATAAAAATAGCTGCAGATGAATTCCTGACAATTTACCCCAAGTGCTGCAATCAAAATTTGTCCATACTTTTTTTTTGCAGACAAGGGTAAAATAACACTACACGGGGAGCGAGTGTGTTCATTTCAAAGGGGGAATTCGAAGCACCAAATCTCTTGAACATGTAGCATCCCCCTAAGGAAAAGCACCCTTACCATAACACTGACCAACTTGCTTCTCACATTCACCACTCACCAATGTAAGTGTGCTGTACAATAGGCCTTGCTGAGCACACAAGGCTGAGTGTTATGCTTCTTGGCTTTCAGGATGTAACCTGAGGTTGTCAGCCAGCATCTATACATTGGATTGGGATTTCCAGGTTCTGTAGACCTTATCTGAGTGGCCCACATCTTTCAAGTCTCAAATGAATTGACAAGACAGGCTGATGAACTTGATGTTTTGAGTCAACAGACTTCTGTTTTTCCCCCCTTCTTTTTTCCCATATTTTTTTTACTATCTGAGTTAGACAAGTGCCCCCCCCCTCCTGTCAGATGCCTGATGTCATATGCAGCAATCCTAACCCCCATGTTTGAATCTCCTGCAATAATTTCAGAACAAATATTATTGGTTCCATACAGACGTCTTGGTCTACAGTTGGTTTGTGGTCACACCCACCAACATGACCAATATTGATCAAAAATCTCCATTTTGCCTCTTTTTTTTTGCATGGTTCCGCTTCTCATTTGTTTGTTTACCTTCGTGAGGTCCTGTTCGAGTCACTTTCTTTCTTTCAGACGTCTGTTAAGCCTTCATTAAGTCGTACCCGTTATTTCCAGCAGACATGTCAGACTAATTACGCAAATTCAGTATCATTCCCACCCCCACACTGATATTTTAATGATCAGTGTGCTTTATCCCCTTATAAACTCACTGGCTCCATGTATGCTTGTACATGTCCCTGACGTTTGAAAACAAAGCGATCAAGTTCTCAGTGAATTTTCTCAAATATTCCTACATTGTACCTCCATGGTTTAATCCTTCGCATACATACGTACATGTAAGTCTTAATGAATGCATGATCATGTGTTATGTACATATATGTATGTACACATCTTTGAATTTCAAACATTTTAACGAGCACATTTTGTAAGTATACAGCCCAGCAGGAGGGATACCTTTATGGTTTCATACATGTAAGATGTACACATTGTTTTGGATAAGGCCACCTTTAGCAAAGCCTGTCACTGAATCTCGTTAAGACCTTGGAGCAAGGGGAATGCTCTGCTTAATTCAAACTTGAAACTGTACGTGTACATGTACATGTATGTAAAGCATCCATACAGGCCATGAGTCCAATGACCAAACCATCACTGTAGATTCCATGAATACAGCTTAATCAATAATCTCCAATCACCTCAACCTGACCTGATCCCATTCCATGGTGATCTAGGGAGCATGGATAATAAATGTTAGTTGTTCATCAAATTGCACATGATGCCGGTATGTAAACGCTTGTTGGTTTATCAACCGAGACTTTGAATCTCTCGTGTCTGAATATAAATAAATAATTAATTAATGCAGAAAATTTATTACATTTTTTTATCAAAGGTTAGAGCTTCAAGTACATGAATACAATGAATGCTGATGTTTACTGCAAATGTATACAAATTTCTTTCATTATTTCACAAATTTCATCCCCCCCATCGTCCCCACAACCCCCCCCCCCCCCCAAAAATGTGCATACCGGGTATATATATAAAAATTAAGATACAGACAGCATCATTTGGACAAGATTTGGGGGAAAAAAGTACTTAACATGTACTTCAGGAATTTAAAGGTATATTGATCCATAAGAACATTGTACATGTACATTAAGTACATTTCATATCCGTTTCCATTTATTTTTTAAACAGCAGCTGTGATTTCCTCTTTAACCTTCCAAAACTTCTGTCAATGTTATTGCCGTTTCCTCCGCTGTCTTGGAAACAAGTCCCCAACAACACTTTTTTTAACACACAAGAAAAACACTGAAGAAAAAAATCTTTCTCCAGGAGCAGATGAATTCATTAGAATGGCCCCTGCACACGTGGGCGGCTCACCAAAAGATCAATTTAGTTCCCACGCTTTCCAGCCCCGTTAAATACAAGACTCGCTAGGGAAATAATCCCAATCATCAGGATATAACTCGACGAGTGTGCAACAATTCCCCATTGTTTGCTCAGAGCTTCTTTTGCAAATATTCCTCCAACAAAGCATGTTTTTTTTAAATTTCATGTTTATCAAGAGAGTTGGCCAAATATTCTGGGTGGATTTGAACGAAAATGTGAAGTAGTGATAAACTACAATATCTCAAAGCATCAAAGAATTAAAAAGCTCAATGGCCAGAATCAAGTACATGTGCTACACCTTTAGTGCAACTACAGATCCTCTACACAAGGATAAACAACTCATCTCAGCTTGTGTACAAAATGTACGGAACGGTTTGTCTACATGCGTGATATGCCGCGTCCATGTATAGAACAACGCATAGAACATACATGTAGAACAATGCACGCGCGCCATGATCGCCGACAGCTGGCGTCCTGACAGAAATTTGACCACTGAAAGGCTGCAGTCGCGCGCCAAGTCTCGCGCTCGCGCACGTACCGGTACGACGCGCAAGTGCCATATCACGCCTCTAACCAGAAATTTGGGGAAATCGTTTAGGCAAAACAAAATTAAAATTCTGCTTTCGATTACATGGTTTTTGAAAATAGGGTAGGTACTGGTAGGTAGGGAATTTTTTGGGGGGCCAATTTTTTTGGTGTACGATCATATGAGACGTCTGCGTGTAGTCAAGGGTAAAAGGTAGAAATTGATGGTTTTGGGTGTTTTTTTTTCCTCATTTTTCCCATAAAAAAATTAGAGTAGGGGCTGTCAGAATAGGGTACCATAGGTAGGGAAACCGGAAGCAGAACTATTTTTTTGTGTAGCCTTGTCATTGTGTAGAGGATCCGTGGTGCAACACAGAGTTCTAGTACAGTATTCAAATATTCTACATTCAAATCCTGCATTTCTGATTTCATCAGGTTCAACTTTTCACTATGACAGCCAAAGTGACAGCCTCCTTCCCAGGTGTAAACCTGTACAGTACCATGGCAGTACTCACCCTGATATTCTCAAATGACTGTCTGTTAGTCACATCAAAGAGCAGCAGGAGTGCATGGGCGTCCCGGTAGTATGCATGCGTGACGCTGCGAAATCTCTCCTGACCAGCTGTGTCCCAGATCTAGCAAAGACAGGAGAGAGAGAACAAAATAATAAATAGAAGAGCAGATAGAGAAGTGAATTATTAGCTTTCCTCTGCAGGGGGTTATGATAAATTCTGAACTGAGGCATGGATAATAACATCACAATGAATATGCTGACAAATGGGAAACATGTACATTGTATATAATGGAAAATGAAAATGGAAATATGATTAGTACAGTTCTGAATTATTTTGAAGGTTTTTTAGTCTACCATGGAGAACGTTTTCACTCAATACATACCAATAAAAACTTGATGCTTAGGCCAAAAAAAAAAAGTCTCCGGTTTCTGGTATGCGCGCGCGTCGCCGTAGCCATGCGCGTCGGCAAAATGAAAAAGTGTTTTTTTCAATGAAAGATGATGTCTCAAAACCGCCAAACTCACTGGTTTGACTGGAATCCTGCTGCTGCAAAATTTTAACGTGTTTTTAGATTGGGTTATGGTCGAGGATAATCTTTATGTGGCGCCGACATTTGAAGCAAAAAAATCAGGTAAAAAAAAAAAAAAGCCGCGTCGCCGCACCACTTTTTGGGCAAGCTCCATACCAGAAACCGGAGACTTTTTTTTTTGGCCTTAGGTGCTACTTTCTAGAGCACTTGGAGGTAGTCTTCATTATAGTTTGGAAGGAAAACTCAACAGACGATAGGTACATGTACATCTACCGGTACAATGTATGAGGAATTCCATGAGAATGTGGACATGGTGGAAAAGTGGAAAATTGATGAAATCTTCAAAACTATAACTATAAGCACGATCACTTCAAATGTGGTATCAAATTAAAGGGGACTACAAGACCTTTCATTTGAGTGATGTTTCAGTTAGATGGAATAGGTTACATGTAAGTGTATTTTTTTTGTAAAAAAAATTTGTATGTTGCCTAAAATTATGGATTTTAGGTAGTTATTTTGGCACCTTGTTTTTACATGCAAAATGCAACTGTTATTGTAAGTTTTTGTTTTTATCAACAATTTTAGTAACATCGTTACTAAGCTACCGATATGGAATCTGTGCATGAACAGTAGCTGATGCTTTGTGACCACTTTTGAGAGTCCCAGTTGGAGGGACACATCCTGTGCGCGACTAATTGTTCGAGCACATACATGTACGTGTACATGTACATACCGGGTATGTACATAGCATAAAGTACTGACCCAGTACGCACAACTGATTTTATTACTATGTTCACAAACCCATAGTGACTGCATGTGAGCATCATGCACCGTCAGCAATGCGTTCAAGAATCCCTCTCAGTAGTCTACCCCAACTACCCAATTATATTAAACCATAATGTACATGTGCCCAGAGTCCATGGTCCCCATTGCACTCCTCAATGCGCCTCCCTCCATGTTCATATCATGCAGCTTTAAAACTAGAGAGCTCCATTTTCATATTCTATCAATACATTTTATAAGAAAATTTACTGACAATCCAAAAATGTCTTGGTGTTGGTTGCCATGGGAGCAAGTGTGCCACTACAGCGTAAGAGTTAGACTTGACACAAGAGGCAACTTTAGAACTGAAAATATAACTTTATATATTGTTTAAGATTGTTTTGTATTGTTTTCTATAATATCCATTCTTCGTGGATACCATGTGGCGCTGGCGCTGTTGGATGTCGATTGAAATAAATATATATAAAAAAAAAATAAAAAAAAAAAAAAAAAAATAAATAAATTTTAATTTTTTATATGCACGTTGCCTTATTCCCCATACCCTCTGATGCATTTGGATTTATGTTCCCCTCACTCCAGTATCAATACTGAAACTTTGTTTTTTTGGCAGAGGCCAGCTCGTCAGTTAGAGAACTTTAGCCAGATAAGTAATACATTGTACCTTCTCCTCTGCCTATGGTAATTAACATGCGCCATCCATCAATCAGCCATTTTCCTAAGCACAGGATGGGCTGTCATATGTACTCACACTATGGTATGCATTATGATTAGTCCCCACAAGAAAAGGTCAGCTTTAACAAGCATAAATCTTTTGTGCAAATTTGATATTTACACGAAGGTTCATTAAAGCCCTTTTAATTGCATGTAATCAGACAAAGCTGGTTGTCAGGCAACGTCTGGTCACTGCCTACCTGTGCATAATGCCCAACACAGAGTCAGAACAGATTACACCATCTTTGCTCTATTGGTAAAAACACACCAAAGTGTTAAACTTACAGGCCCGTACACACATCTTTGTATAAAACAACAGCAATCGTGGACCCCCTATTGTCCCTAATCCTCATTCCTTTGTTTGTAACTTTTTAGCAACAGCTCTCATTGGTTTTGTACACAAATTTCAATCATGGACGTATTGTTTGTGCCCTAACCCTTTGTTTACATACATGTACTCACTGGAACACTTCAAACGCCCCCCCCCCTCCTCCCCCCCCCCCCCTTGGTGTTCTGCTCAGAAATTAGAAATAATTTTATTTTATTATTCAAATTGCCGCCCACAAATTTTTATGACCCCCATTGTGTTGTGTTCACAATATTGCGCTGCTAATTGCTCAAAAAGTCAGGGGAAAGTGGCCAGGAAATGCCTCAGATCGCACCAAAGAGAATATAGAATCCAAAATTTTCCTGGGCTTAAGAGCCTCGCACCCTATGTCACAAGGGCTTTGCACTCCGCGCTCGCATACAAAAAGTTCAACTTTGGGGTTTGATGACACCTCCCCCCCCCAAAAAATCTCGGATCAGGGAATGGGCCTGTAACAGTATGATAGCAATGGCTATTTTACACAAATTCCTGGCTTTTAGGAAATGAACCACACAGCAAGGAATGAACCAATGAATGCAGTGTTTACTACAAGGCTGACATGTATGCGTGCATTCATCTTTAATTAATCAAATCTTACCATAACCTAATTTCATGGATTCCTTGTCAAGCCTCATTATCCTGCACTCGTGTGACAATTTCATTGTATGAACAGACTTTAGCTTGAATATTCCAAAACACAATATGTGTAGAACAAGTCCAGAATTGTCAGTCTGGAATAATCTATATTTGGTTATACATTTTGTAATTACCACCTTTTGATTTTGCCGTACCGTACAAACATCCATATATTCAATACACACCGTTTTGCAAACACTAAACCAAACATATGTTGTTGCTGTCATAAATTTGGTGTTTACTAAATACATTTGTTGGGTTGTGGATACTTGAATTTCAACCAACTGAACCCAGATCACCTGGTTATAATATTTTTATCAGAATTTGTCTGTTTATTTTTACGTGTATTCAACACCTGTTTGTACATATGCACAAACCCACCAATCCCAGACATACATTACAAGCAGACCAGAAGTGATTGGTTTAACATTGGTTCGTCCCCGACTCATGACGGCAGTACGCCACCGCACCACTGCATGCCGCTACAACACGCCGACAGCGTTCCAACTGCCGAATAGACCCTCAGCATGTCAATGACCACCGTGACGTCACGATGCTGCAATTTGGCGGCTGTCGACTGAGATCAGATCCCTGGCTTTTCCGGATCCGGCGCTTTGAATCAATACGCTCTAGTAAGCACAGCGACAACAACTCTTCCTACCTCCACTCAACACACAACCCATTTCAATTTCTTGTTATTTTTTCTTTTTAAAGACAGCGCCACCAATTTTGGACAAATTAATGTGCGCACTTGTATTGATTTTGGCCTGTGGTTATTGATGAAGTGCTTATAAAAGGCGGGGTAAGTTTTGGAGTGGCTTTGAAGGAGGTCCTTGATATGCGCTCAAATTTTCTTTATATTAATTTAGCAAATAGTCCTCCAGATGTTTTTACCTGTAAGCCTGTCACTTTGCCAAAGTCTTGATCAGATGGAAAATGTATTTATAATCTTTTGTCTAATCTACCAATTATTATTTCAAGAATTTCTGCAGTCAAATGATGCATTCAAATGCATTACTGTTTCTTAATTATAATAATAAGTCATAGCCATCTCCTTAGGTGGCTACAAGTATGTTACTTAGAAGCAGTACAGTTATCAGTTCATTAATGTAAACTTCCACAAATCATACTGTTTTTTGGGTGTTTTTTCAAGTTCAAAGACTGCTTACAATGGTAGCATACGTGTATGTACATGTTCAGGATGCAGGAGTGCTTGCTTACCCTTACACAAATGTGCATCTGACAGTTCAGCTAATCGGTGACTAGAAAGCAAATTATAGTGTTAACAGCTGTGTGGTTGCGAAGGCCTAAGCATCGCCGTTGTTAAACAAAGTTAATCCGATTACGCTATAACAGAGCAGTGAAAGTCATGCACACCAAAAACATGGCCTTTCGAACGTTGTATTTCTCAGAAAATATGCTCAGTATGATTGAAATGTTAAATTACAACGAAAGAAGAAATTCTAAACTTCATGTCAGTGACAAAATCGCTGTCATCGATGCCGAAACGTCAATTCTGGTTACTGGTAAAGCTGACCTTGAAGTCGGGAAGAAATCGTTCGAAAACGTCCCCAAATCTAAGGTATTTATCTCAAGTTGTTATTTCACGAGTAGTTGAACCGTATCATCTAAAAAAATTCTGAATTTCATCTTCATCTGTTGTTGCAATTTCAAGGGAAGCTTAACGTCCACAGAGTTAACCATTATGTGCTGATGACATTTACTGGAACCGTCCAGTAAACCAGTGAATCTGTATTTGTTCATTCAAGGGACAAGCACTCACTAATGGACAGAGACAGCTTGAGGATCTCCTATTCATAGAGGTTGTTTTGGAGATTCTTTCTGTTCAAAAGAAAAACTTAAGTGCTGATTTAATGCCAAAGAAATGTTGATACATGTACACTGTAAATTTGTACATTTGTATGCATGAATTACAAAGATTGCACATACATACCTGTACATGTACTATAGCTTTCAGTCACAAATAGATATTGTGACTTCTGTAAATAATGACAATTTGAAACATCAATTTTGCTATCAAAATATACTAGATAGTCATGTCAATGTCTTTAAAGTTATTATTATTACTACAGT